TATTTTAAAAAAAAAAATGGAACCTTCTCCATATATTCAAAAAAAACGATAAATAGTTTTAATGTGCACCTATCGTTCTACGGGCCATGCCAACTACTTTATCAACTCCTTCCGACAAACCTAACCATCTAGGGCGGTAGCCTTTCCTTATATGCACCAAGACCAACAACACCATCCAATCCTACAGCCAAACCAACAGGCAAACCAACAGGCAAACCAACAGCTACACCAACAAATGTTATTATTACAAATGCAACAACAGGCACAACACCAACAAAATAGTCAACCTAATCAAATAAACCCAATTGGGCAAGTGAATCAGTTGAATCAAATGGGGCAAATGAATCAAATGAACCAAATGGCACAAATGAACCAATTAACTCAAATGGGGCAAATGAGCCAAATGGGACAGATAAACCAAATGGGACAAATTAACCAACAACCACAACAACCACAGCCACAGCAACCACAACAAGGAAATATTTTACAAAACCCACAACAAAATATTTCGCTAAATTCAAGCAACTCAATGTTAAATATGATTGGATCAAATGGTTTAGCAAATATGGGAATGCAAATGAATGGAATGTCTTTAAACCAAATAAATCTTGCACAATTGCTTCCACAACAATTCAATAACTCACAACCAAATATGTATACAATGAACCAACCACAAACAGTACAATCACAACAACCAATTCCTTCACCACAAACAAATAATAATTTACTTTCAAACAATAATAATCCAGCAACATCATCTCCACTTTCAAACGATACTGAAGAGCCAGCATTAAAAAAGTTAAAAAAAAATAACTCGAACAATACTTCCAAATCAAAATCCAAAGGAAAGAAATAATAGCAAAAATATATATAAAAAACTGCATTTTTCTTTTATTTAATAAATAAATCATTTGTACAAATTAAACTATATTTTATCTTTTTTTATTTTCTTATTATTATTTTATTATTAAAAATTTGATTGATCACATTATAATGTGGAGGCTGGTCTAACATCTGAAAGGTTTTTAAAGAAGCCATTGACTGGTGGATTTGCAGTATTTGTTGCTCTGATATAAAGATACATACCCCAATAAACATCATTTAAAGTAGCACCACCTCTTGTGAAGTATTCATCAGCTACACCCTCTAATCTAAAGTTAACGACCTTAACGAAAAGATGTGTTCCATCAAAATAATATTTGGAACCATCACCACTTCTTACAGCAGCTGCTGATGTAGCTTGTGTAAAAGTTTTGGTAGCTGATGATGGGGGATAATATGTATAATAAGTTGAAACAGAGAATGTTGTGCCTGCTGGATAACGAATAGCTAAAAATACATAATGTCCAAATGGAACTTGCTTCATATGAACATCCATACTATTTTAAATAAATAATATTAGTATTGGGGTATTTAAAAAAGAACTAAATAATAATATTATTTATTATTTTAAATAATTACCTTGCTGGTTGTCCATTTGTGAAATAAAGATACCAACCCATATCACTTATACCAGTAATACCAACATTATTTGTAATAGCGGTTTTTCTTTCATCAGTAATACCACTGCCAAATAATGCAACCTTACCGACTTCGATTGAAGTATCATACTCTTCACCATCAATAAGATTTGGAACAATTACATCAAGATTGGCAATTTCTTTTGTTCCTTTATTACAAACATAGCAAGCCCAATAAGTATTGTATGAACATGAAGAGTCAAAGTTCCACCATGTGTCATGAGAGCCAACAATTGTAGTTGCAGTTCTACCAGTGGCAGTTCCATCAGAATCGATAAAGTTAAAGTATCTACTGGAGCCAGTGGTATCAACTTTGTGGCCAATTCTTTGAGCTGTAGCTACATTGGTAAAAGAAATATTTCTGGTTGCTGAAATTCCTTGTGGTTTGAAGACTATTAAAAATTAAAAAAAAATTAATAAAATGAAAAAAATATTTTAAATGGTTTAAAAATCTTACTATCTGAATGGGTCATTGAAATGAAAACTTTGTTATCTTCTTCATTATTAGCTGGGTTTGAAAGTGCAATAAAGTTTCTGAAGTTAATATTGGTTACAATAGTTTGAACTAAGGTGTCATAAAATTGGAAACCCTGACGATTATATCTTGTAGATTTGGATAGAATGTTGCCTGATTGACCATTAACAATAGCGTTTGAAAACCAAGCTTCACCAAAAAGAGTAGCTGGACGATGGCAATCATGACTTTCTAATGTGACGACTTCAACTCTTTCACCCCAATGATCTAAACCTCTATTGCTTAAAAATACTTTGGTATTATTAAATCTCATCCATACTTCGGTAGAATCTTCGTCACCATTTAAAAATGTTTCTCTTGAGTTTCTTCCTGAAGAGTATTGTAAAAGATCATTTGAACCATAGGAAAGTTGACCGCCAACATAAATTGATCCACCAAATTCCCATGCCATACCAGAGGAAGAGGCAGAGTTACCTTCAAATACTTTAGTTGGGTACTGTGATGGTACCATAGCAACACTACGATGATTACCAATTGGGGCTGGAAGATTTGGGAAAGCAAAACCGGCTATTTTTTAAAAGATTTGTTAATTAAAGTTGTTTTAATACAATTAATAAGTAAAATACAAATATACATACCCCAACCACCTGAAGCAGAGTTGCCAATAATAGTATTCCAAGCATTAGTAATATAGAAAACACCAGCAGAAACATCAGCTGGTTGACGGAGTAAATCTGATTCTTCAAAATCTTGACCATATTGAGTGTAACCGGCAGCACTTTGATAGATTGTATGAACAAAAGCACCAAGGTTATAACTTAATGTATTATCCATTTCAACACCATCTTCAAGGTAGTAGCAATGGCCCATGGCATTAAAGGCAACATTTCTTGTAACGGTTAAGTTGTTGGTACCGTGGATAGTATAGCATCTATATATTTATAAATATTAGTTTCATGTAAATATATAGAATAAAAATCTAAACATACCTATAATATGAGTTTGTTACAGAGCAATCCGAAATGTAAGAGTTTGAAACAGTTTCGGCTAAATGGAAATGAAGTGGATATCTGCCTATAATATATTTGTATAAATTTTTGTTAGAAGTATGTTTTAGGAATTGTTCATTCTATATCATTATAAAATTACCTTTAATATTTTTTTGACCCATTTTATTTAATCTTAAACCACTAAATTGGCCTTCACCACTAACAATAACATGACCTCCAAAGCTATTGGTTTCTGATGATGCAACATCGCCTTGGAAAACAATTCTTCTCGATAATAAAGCAACTTGGGATTGGTATTCTTGACCACCATAATGGTAATATTTTAATGATGTGGTAAATTGGATAACCTTGCCTTGAATTGCTTGGATAACTTTAACTTCATTTTGGTCGAATACCTCATCTTCTGGGATACTTGTAGTTATTAAAACCTCTTGACCAACTTCCCAATTGACAGAATCTATAAATATTTTAAATATGATTTAGTATTTTGATTAAATAATTATTTATTCAATATATTTACCTTGAACATAAATAGTATTATCACCAGACCAAGCAGTTGCAGCTAATTTAGTCCAAGTGTTATGATATTGTTTACCTTGAACACTAATGAAACCAGTATCAGCAACTGCAATACCTTTGCTTCCAAAGTATGTTGCAATGGTATCAGCGGTAGTTTTTTCACCATAGAATACGAGATTAATTTTACCGTTATAACGACACTTGCTTGAACCCATGGTTAATCTACCTTGAACATAGATATCCTTAACATTCATGGTCATATCAGCATCGAAAAATACTAATTCAGATGAAGCTGGAATTGTAATTTTGGTATAGATGTCGGTTTGAGAAATTGAACATGGTGAGACTAATACTTTAGTGTTGGCTGGAAGAACAATTGAAGATGATGGTGATGGAACAACCCCTCCCCAAGTAGCTGGGTCATGCCAGTGTTTTAAATCTGAAGAGAGGTATGGACAAGTGATTAAATCTTGAGCATCTAATGCACTAGGAGCCTTTGGAAGAACAACAAGCTCTGAGTCTTTGGTTAAAAGAGTTGGAGTGGTAATGGTTTTAGCTGGAATAGTGAATTTCAAGTTATTAAAAATAATTGAGGTTGGACCAACACCTGTAGAAGTTGTACGTTGGATTTGGAGAGCCATAAATGATTGACCAATATCAACAGTTGGAGTGATTGTAGTTGTAAATTGTACATAACTTGTTGAGCCGAAATTTCCTGTAATAACTTTTGAAAAAAGAGGAGTATGGTCACCTGCATAGAAGTAAGCGCTAGTATCGTGGACTGGATCAACATCTTTTGGATCGTAAAAATGAAGAGTGATGCTTGAGTATTGATTATTATTACTGCCTAAAGTTTGACCTAATTTGAAACCAAATGATAATTGATAGTTGGTATTTGCCTTTAAAGCTGGAGCAGAGTCTAAATAAAAGAGCATGTGAGAATCTGGTCCATAGTTTGTGTAAGTAATTGTAAATCCGGTTGTATCTGGTCCATTTACAATTGAAGTATCACTTTCACCCCAATGGGCCATATATCTAAGATTATTTGCATTTAAATTGAAATCTAAAGCTGGTTGTGAAGTTGAAATAGCTGGAGATGTTGGACTTGCAGACGAAGCTACTGTTGGTCTCCATGAGGCAGCTGTTGATTCACATGCTGATTTTACAACATTAAACTTACAAATAAATAAATAAAATATAAATAAATAAACAAGATTTTTATTTAATACCATTTTTTTTAATAATAAAACTTTCAAAAAAAAAAAAAAACCTTTAAATATTTGGATTTATAAAAAAAAATGGTGGTATTGAAATATTTTTCGAGTAATGATAAAATAAATATTTTACTCAGAAAACCGGTCTCCAATAGATATTTGCTTACGAAAAAAAATAGTAATGGGTTTTTTTTTTAAAATGGTTTTATAAACGGTTTTGATTTGCTAAAACGTTGTGAAGTGTTGTGGTGTGTTTTGATAAAAAAATATCGATTTTTGTATTTATATTTTTTTTTTTTTTAAAAAATAGATTTAAATTAAAATTTATTATTTGAAAATTTTTTGGATATTTTTAAAAAAAAAAAAAAAAAAATATATTATTTGGTGAAATGATTTCGTGCCATTTATAATAAAAGATTCGTTTTTTTTTTTTATATACACTATTTATATTAATATTATTTTTGTTTTTATTATTATCATAATTATTGAACCATTACTATTATTATTGCATGTTTTTATCTTTATGATCTCCCCAAATAAGATTATTTTAATTTTTTTTTATATTCACAAATTGATGATAATTATTAAAATGAAATTAAAAGGAAAAGGGAAATAAATAATGATTGCAATTCCTGTCGTATTATATAATTGAAAAAAAAAAATTTGTAAAAATGGTTTTTTGATAAAAAAAAAAAATTTTTGTTTTTTTATAGTTTTTTTTCTTGGAGGGAATTTTTTATTGTTTATTCTTTGCATATTTATTATTTTAAGCAATAAGATAGTTTTTGATTATATAACAATTAATTAATAAAAGAAATAATTAACATTTTTATTTTTAAAGTTTTTCATTGGAAATTAATTTAATAGTAAATTTATTATTAACCAAATGGGTTTATAATAAACAGACTAAATTTTGGATTTCGAACTGGACCTTCATCTCTATTTTTAAAAAATCCTCAAATTCAAATTCAAGAATCAAATTTTTTTACAACAGTGACATGGCCAGTTTATTCAATGACTAATTATTACTGTTTCCCACCCTTTTTTACAACCCCAATCAATTATTATTGAACCAAATTACAGACACAATGACAACTACCGCGGTATGTTAAAATTTTTTTTTTTTTTATAAAATTGGTAAAATTAAATAAAACATAATAATGTAAAATAAATAAAATAAATATAAAAATTATATTTTATTAATTATTTATAATATAAATTTGAGTATTTTTATTTTTTATTTAAAGAGTTAAATTTATCTTTAAACTCGTCTAATCTAAATTTAGCTTCTTCACAATCATTTTTGGCGGCACGTTCAATTAGATTCATTGATAACTTTGGATTTGAATCAAAGGTATTTTCAGCATATGCAAAAGTGCAATCAGCAGAACCCAATTCCATACCCTTCTTAAAAAGTTTTAATGCTTCATCCATATTTTTCTTTAACTCTATTTGTAACTTACCTAATCCGTGAAGGGCATCTAAATCTTTTGGATTATTATCGAGAACTTTTGAATAGTATTTAAACGAACATTCTAAATCAACGGCACCACCTACACCTTCCATTGCGAAACCACTTAAACATTTGCAACAATCGATGACATTTTTATTTTCGATTAATTCGCCATCAGGGCATTTTACATAAATATCCATATCTGCACCTTTTTCGAATAATTTTCTTGACATTGGTAAATTTTGTTCGCAATTATCACCTAAATATTTAATTGATGCATAAAAAAATAAACCTAATATATTAAATTAAATATAAAAAAATAAAAAATAAAGATTAATTAATTTTAATTAAGAAATTAAATTAAATAAATCATTGATTGATTGATTTTTGCTAAATTTACCTTCTGCTGAACCGTTAGAGGCTGCTTTTAAAAAATATTTTTGAATAACTTCTGATATTTGAGGATTGCTTTCTTTTTGTGAATATAATGCATGGGCTGTTTCACAAAGCATTCTATTTTCTAAATAGTTTTTAGGTATGCAATTGAACTCTGAAAGAAACTTCATGACAGGTTCAATAAAACCTTGTTGATCAGTGGTAACATCCACCAACTCATCAATAACTTTTTTATCTTTTATACCAAATGATCTCTCATTGATTTTTTTTCTATCTAATTTATGGGTTTTTAATAATTTAAGATTTTGCATTTCCTTATTTATAAATTTTAAAATGAAATAATAAAAAATAAATAAAAAATAAAAAAAAATTAAAAATAAAAAAAATTAAAAAAATATTTTTTGAATTTTATTTTTTTTTTATTTTACACTTTTATTTCATATATGTTCAATGAATAAATATATAAATAATTTATAAATAAACAACCCAACAAATAATGTTAAATTTAAAAATCAAAATAAAATTATTAAAAAAATAAATTCGATAAGATCTTAATAATTAATTTTAGAAAATAATTTAAAAATAAAAAAATAAAAAAAAATAAAAAATAAAAAAAAATAAAAAAAAGAAAATCTATAAATAAATATTTATTTTAATTTTAAAAAAATAAAATTCTTTTTAGATCTAAAAAAAAATATTCTAAAATGTAAAAATGTATTCGACTTTATTAACTTCATATTATTATTCATAACAACCTATATAAAAATAACTTTGAAAAAAAAAAAAAATAACAATATTAATAAAGGGTTTAATAAAAAATTATTAAATAAAAATTAATAATAAATAATAATAATAAATATAAAATATGGTTAGAAATATTAAAAATGTAACACTTTTTATAGTGTTGGGTTTATTAATAAACTATTCAATAGCTCAAGATTATTGCTCTTATTTAAAACAAGGTTTAATGTTTTATAAAGCCCAAAGAGCTGGCCGTTTACCAGATAATGATATTTCATGGAGGGGAAACTCTGTGCTAACTGACTCTAGTCCTGGCGGAAAATTGGACTCCAATGGCGATGGTGATCTTTCTAAAGGTTATTTTGACGCTGGTGATGGAGTAAAGGTAATTAAATCTATTTTATTAAATAAATATTTAAAACTATAAATAAATAACTAATTTTTATAATAAAAAGTTTGGATTACCAATGTGTTGGTCAATGGTAATGCTGGGTTGGTCATTTATTGAATCCCAAGCAAATATTGCATCATGTGGTTTAACAGATCTATATTTGGAGGATTTAAAATGGGGAACAGATTATATTTTGGCATCTCATTTGAGCGACAATGAATTTGTTGCACAAGTTGGAAATGGTGAGTTGGATCATTCTTATTGGGAACCACCAGAATTTATCAACTATGTACGTTCAGTATATACAATTAATCAAAACAAACCAGGAACTGAATTAGCAATGGAAGCAGCAGCAGCTCTCTCCGCAGCATCAATTGCATTTAAATCCTCTAATCCATCATATGCCTCTACTTGTTTAAACCATGCCAAAACACTCTATAACTTTGGTAAAACTTATCAAGGTGTCTACTCTGACTCTGTACCAGATGCCCAACCTTTTTATAACTCCTACTCTGGTTATAAAGATGAATTAGTATGGGGTGCCGTATGGTTATATAAAGCCACCAGTGATCCAAGCTATCTAAGTGATGCTGAAAACTTTTATCAAACCAACGGAATTGGATATAATGGTATATCAAATTCTTTTGACTGGGATCAAACTGCAGCTGGATCAACTGTCTTGCTCTATAAAATTACTGGTAAACAACTCTATGCTGATATTATGACACAAACCATGAAATATTGGTTGCCAGGTGGTGGTGTAACATATACACCTGGAGGTTTAGGTAAATAACTATTGTTTTATAATTTACACATTTAAAATTACTAACCATAATATTATTTTAAATAAATAGCATGGATTAGACAATGGGGACCAGCTCGTTATGCAATGTCAATGGCATTTATCGGTACAGTTTATGGTACAAGTGATTCATTACAATTTGCAAAGAAACAATTGGATTATGTTCTTGGTAGCAATGGTCAATCCTTTGTTGTAGGTATGGGCCCCAAATACCCAATTAACCCCCATCATAGGGCTGCTCACCACTCTACAACAAACAATATCAAAGATCCAGTTAATAATAAATACATTTTATACGGTGCACTTGTTGGCGGTCCTGGTTCAGACGATTCCTATGTTGATGACCGTGAAGATTATATTAAAAATGAAGTAGCACTTGACTATAATGCAGGATATGTCAGTACTCTTGCTTATTTTGCTTTAGGTATTTATTTATAATTTAATTTATTTATATTCTTTTGTTTTAATATTAATTAAAATGTATTTTTTCATCTATTTAAATAAATTAAACTAATAAAGGTTCTTCTTCTACTTCTGTTCCCACACAAACTCCTTCACAATCTACAACCCCCACACAAACACCTTCACAATCTACAACTCCCACACAAACCCCAAATCCCACACAAACTCCTTCACAATCCACAAATCCCACACAAACACCTTCACAATCTACAACTCCCACACAAACCCCAAATCCCACACAAACTCCTTCACAATCCACAAATCCCACACAAACTCCTTCACAATCCTCTACTCCCACACAAACACCTTCTCAAACCTCATCAACAACACCTTCTCCTACACCCTCACAATCTTCTACTACCTCACAAACCTCGTCCTCCTTTGAAAACCCTACTACAACAGGTAATGGAGATGCAACAACAGGTGTTATTTCCACAGGCACTTCAACCAGTACTGGAACAGGTACTTCAACCAGTACTGGAACAACTAACCCTGGTTTAGAAGGAAATAGTAAAGATAGCTCCGATGGTATTTCAATATATGATATACTTCCACTTTCTATTATAACACTATTTTTCATTTCTTCTCTACATTTAATGTTAGCTTAAATACTTTAAAAATAAAATAAAAGCCAATTTAAAACAAAAAAAGATTTTTATTTAAAATTTCAACAATTTTTTTTTTAAAGAGATATAATTTATTTTATTTTTTTATAAAATTAGTATCTAATAAAATTAAATTATAATTTAATTTTCCTTAAAAATAAAATCAATTTGAACCAACAACCTTAAATATTTAGATTTTAGGGAAAATAATTGGGATATAAAAGATAGACTTTTTTTGGGAAAAGAAAAAAAAAAAAAAAAAAAAAAAAAAAAAAAAAAAAAAAATTTTTTTTTTTTTTATTTTAAAATTTTTAAAAAAAAAAGATTTAAATAATAATTTAATTTTTGAATCTTTTATTTTCAAAAAAAAAAAAAAAGGGTATAAAATATTTTATAAAACAAATTAAAACATTCAAATTATACTCACAAGATATATAAATATTAAAGATAAAAGAATAAGTTTATATAAATAAAAAAAAAAAAGAAATGAAACAAATTTATAAAATTTTAACAATTTTTGTTTTATTAAGTTTATTGCTATGCTGCTCAATAGTATCCTCTGAAGGCTCTATTGAAGCCTCAACCTCAAAAGGAGGTTTGGATCCTACAGGAAGTAGTGCCACAGACTCAACATCCACCTCTTTGGATTTAGGAAGTAGTACTTCTGGTCCAAATGCTTCATCTTCAGAAAATACAACCACACCAACTTCCTCACCAAGTAATTCAACTAAACCAACAATCACCCCAAGCACAACTCCTTCCTCTACTCCAAGTTCTACTCCAAGCAGAACTCCATCAACCACAACTCCAACCTCTCAACCAACAGTTCCACCAACTCTCAATCCAGGTGGTTTAGAAGGAAACTCATCATCAGAAGGATCTGGTTCTTTCTCATTATATTCTCTTATTCCATTATCAACATTCACAATTATATTAATCTCTGCAATTCATTTAATACTTGTTTAAATAAAATTATTTTTTATTTAAAAAAAAAAAAATGAAACAAATAAAAATGAAATAGATATAAATCTATTATTTTAAAAAAAAAAAAAAAAAATAAAGATATATTTTTTTTTTTTAAAATAATTTTCTTTTATTTAATTTTTATATATAAAATATATTTTGATATTTTAATATTTTAATATTAAATTTTAAAAAATTTTAATTAAATTAAATTTAAATTAATTAAATTAAAATATAAAAAAATTAATTTTTTTATTTTTCCTTTTTTGGAAAAAATTTAAAAATAATTATTTTTAAAAATAGTTTGAAAAAAAAAAAACACTACAACTTGAAGAGATCTACATTATAAAAACAAAAGAGTAAAACCTGAGTAGTATAAAAAAAAAAAAAAATCTTTATTTACAATTCTATAATTTTATAAATAAAACATATATATAAAAAATGAAAATAATAAAATACTTTTCTCTTTTTATAGTAATCTTTTTGTTGCTTATTGTTTCTAATTGTCAAGATACCTGGTGTCATTCTAAACAAAGCTTGATGTCCTGCCAGTACCAAAGACCCACCTTAGTAATTCCCAACAATGATGATATTTCAACAAACAAACTGTATCTTGGCACTAATGATAATGAAAAAGTAACTATTTTTTTAATTTTGATTTTTTACTAAACAACTATAATATTAATATATTTATTTTTTTTAATTAATTAAATAGTTTGGTTTATCAATGTGGTCATTACAAGACATAGTTCCTATTACTATAATGTCAGTGTTTTTAATATCAACTGTTCATTTAGTATTAAATTAACAAGGAAATGAAAAAAAATTATTTAAAAATATTTATAATAAAAAAAAAATTTTAATTTTATTAAAAAAAATTTTGATTTTCAAAATTTTTTTTTTTTTTAATTTTTTTGTTTCATCTTTTTTATTTATTTATTAATTAAGTTTTTTATTAATATAATATATATATTTAATAAAATATGAACGATTTAGCACAACATCTTAATAAAATTAATGATTGTATAAATAATTGTAATGGTTTTGCCCTTGCCACAGAATTTTCAACAACAGAGATAATTACATCAAGACTTTATAAAACCTATAATACTTTATCGGCTGCAAAAAAACAACAAATACAAATAAAACTTAATAGATTACAAAAAATAGATTCAATAGTTAAAAGACAACACGACATTGATGTATTTGTTTCAAATAAACTTCCACAACACTATAATGAAGCTGCTTCAAATCGTTTAAGATGTATTTCTGCAATTTTCGAATCACAATATTCCGAAGCATTTAAACATTTAACAGAGGCAATAAAGTAAGTTAAAACAAACAAACAAACAAACAAAAAATAAATAATTACAAAGTTATTAATTTTATTATTTTTATAGCTCATTTGTCAAAGTTTTTGAGTTATGGTCATCAAATGTTTTATGGAAATTATCATTAGATCTTCGTTTATTAGCAGAATTAGCAACTGAAATGAATGATGATAATAATTTAAATAATAGTAACAAAATTGATTATTATGAAGAGGCATCAAGAACTCTTCTAAGTAAATGTTTTCAAGCTACAAATGCAGATAGAACTGCAAATATGGCCGAATCTAAAAAGAATGCAGCATTGGGTGTAGTAAATCAACTTTTTCATATTTATTTTAAAATTAATAATCTTAAACTATGTAAAAATTTAATCAACGCTGTTGAATCACCAGGCTTCCCATCATTAGACACTTACCCACTTTCACAACTAATTACATATCGTTTCTTTAATGGCCGTCTTTCTGTTTTTAATGGAGCCTATAAAAAAGCACAACAAGATTTATTATTTGCATTTAGCAAATGTCCTCAAACATCATTTAAAAACAAAAGGTAAACACAATAATCTCAATACTACCACTATTTTAAATAATACTAATATCTTTTTTTTTTTATAGATTAATATTACTATTTTTAGTGCCTATGCAATTGGAGCAATGTAAATTCCCAAAGAAATCATTATTAGAAAAATATAAATTAAATCAATTTATTGATATTGTACAAGCTATAAAGACTGGTAACATCAAACAATTTAATGACTGTTTATCAACCCATCAAAACTTTTTCATTTCAAAGGGTATATATTTAATTTTAGAGAAATTGAAAATCATTTGTTACAGAAATCTCTTTAAAAAAGTATATTTAATCCATTCAGGCCAAAGAATTCCAATCAATAACTTTTTATCAGCATTAAAATGGATGGAAAATGATTCAATTGATATCGATGAAACCGAATGTATTCTTTCAAATTTAATTTATAATGGTTACCTCAAGGGTTATATCTCACACAAAGTAGCTTTAGTAGTTTCCCCAACCAATCCTTTCCCAAAATTACCATTATAAACTGCAACAAAGTAAAAAATATTAAATAAAATAATAATATTTAAAAATAAGTTTGGTTTTTTTAAAATTATATTTTATTTTATTAAATTTTTTTTGGTTTTTTAGGTTTTTCTTATTTTTTTTATATATATAATCTACTTCCATTTTATTTAAAAAGGAACTATTGTTTTTTTTCTATTTTTTTTTTTTTTCCTAGTTTTTTTTTTTTTAAAAGTTTTTTTTTATTTTTTATTATTATTGTTATAACGTTTTATTAAAGTTTGTTTGTTTGTTTGTTTGTTGAGGTGTGGTTGTTAATGAACTGTTTAAAATGTAAAGTTAATTAGGTTGTTGGAGGTTGGATATGAATGGATGTGTTTTAATTATATTTCTTTATTACAAAATGATAACGATGATACTAATGTTATCAGTACTTCCACTCTTTAAGGCGTGTAATAATAATTTATCACTCATTTTTTGAGCTTCAGTTTCATTTAAAATTAAGTCGACAGCATCTTGATCAGATGTAACATCCCAAAGCTATATAAATAAAAAAATGACATTAATAAAACCATTTATTTTTTATGTAAATAATACAAATGTTAACTTACACCATCACAAGCTAAAATTAAGTGGGTGTGACCTTCATCAAATTTAATAGCACGTTTATATGGGTCACCAATAACGTATTCTTTCATTGAATGGTCACCAAGAGAACGAGTAACAGCAAGTATACCATTTACACGGTTATTTACAACAAAACCACCAGCTTCCACGATTCTCTTAGTTTCTTCTTGATCTGAACCTTTATGGTCATATGATAATCTTTCGGCAACTTTATTATGACTATACATAAAATAAATATATTAATATTATTTTGTAATATATATATATGTAAATAATAAAATATTAAATATTTACCAAACAACAGCACGAGCATCACCAGCATTAGCTATGTAAAGATATCTTTCACCATCGACAGGTGATTTTCTAATTAAAGCAGTAATTGAGGTGGTACCTGAAAATTGAATAGATTCTTTTTCGTTCATTTGTTTATCAGTTAAAAGATAACTATTTTTGAAGTGTTCTAAAACATCACCATTTTGATCTTTATTGAGTTCTTCTAATAAATTCTGCAATAATAAACAATTAATTAGTTTATATTATTTAAAAAAATTAATTAATTTTTTATAGATTAAATAAATTAACATACATTATGAAGAGTTTTAGCAGTGAATTCTACAGCACCTCTTCCACCATGACCATCATAAATAGCGAAATAACCTTGGGTTGGATCACCACCAAAGCAATCAATAATAACATGTTCATCCTCCATGGTTCTTCTATAACGTGGGTTCTTTTCAAAAGAGACACCAACATCACGAACTGAAAGAGTTTTAGAGTCCTTAGCTGGTGATTCTGGTGAATATTGTTGAGATTTTGATTGTTTTTGTTGTGATTTTGGTTGTTCTGGTTGTTGTGGGTTAGATAATGGAGTTGATGGTGTTTCATTATTGCTGTTATTTGATTCTGTATCTTCTTTGTTTGATTCTTCATCCTTTTTGTTAACATTTTCTTTATTTTCTATATTTTTAGATGAATCTTCTTTTTTGTCTTCTGTGATATCATTATTACTACTATTATTATTATTGTTGTCGCCTGTTTTACCCTTTTCAACTTCTAAACTCTTGTCGGCAGTAATTTCTGTTGCTTTGGTTGTATTTACTGTGTCATTATTATTATTAATAATTTCATCTTTAAGGTCGCTAGATGATGAATCGATCATATCTGTATTATTTTGACTCATTATGCTATTTTAATAAAAAATAATAAAAAAATTAGAAAAAGAAATAATTGTTTGTAATTTGAAAAAAAATAATTTTGGAGGTGTTTTGTTTTGAGGTGTGATGTGGATAATGGAGAAACATATAATATAGTTATTATAACACAATTGATCAATGATTAATAAAAAAAAATAAAATAAAAGCGCGGAATAATTTGTGTGTGGAAAAAAAAGATATTAATTAGATCTTGTTGTTATTATTTCTTTTGTTAAATTAATAAATTTTGTATGTGATTGATTTATTATGTGATTGATTGAATCTATTCTTTTTTTTTTTTTTTTTTTTTTTTTTTTTTAATTATTTTTCTTCAATTAATTTAAAAATTATTAATGGTGATAAAAAAAAAAAAAAACTATAATATATACTTTTTTTGGGGTTTTATATATATCTATAATTGATGGGTTGTGATGGTTTGAATTAGATCTAGATAAAACAAAAAATTGGTTGTTGTTCTAAAATACAAAAAATTATGATATATTATATAAAATATAAATTTTTTTAAAAATTTTTTTTTAAGTTTTAAAAAAAAAAAAAATAAAAAAAATAAAAAAATCAAAAAAAAATTTAAAAAAAATTTAAAAAATTTTAAAAAAAAAAAAAAAAAAAAAAAAAAATTTTATTTTTTTAAATTTTTTTATGAAGAAAAAAAAAAAATAAAAAATAATTAATTGTGTGTATGATTTTACTGCTATAATTTAAAAAATACCTGAGTTTCATTCATCGTTTATATCTATTTTTATTATCGCTTTTTTTTTTTTGTAATTCTATATATTTATTGGTATTATTATTATTAAAAAAAAAATTAAAATTTGTTTTCACACACGCACCAATCCATTTTTGAAAATTTGATTATAAAAATAAAAAATTAAATATACATATTTAGAACTTCCTTTTACTATAATTTTTTAATTTTTTAAATTTCGATTTAAATTTTTGTTTTTTTCAATTGATAAAAAAGAAAAAAAATATAAATCGATCAGAAATTTACCTCTTTTATAAAATATTTTTTTTTTTTTAATTTTTTACCTTTTTTTTTTTTTTTTTTTTAATTTTTTTTAAATTTTTAAAAAAAAAAAAAAATAAAATAAAATAAAAATTATTTCATTTCATTTTCTTTATTTTTAAATTTAATTTTATAATATAAAAAAAAAAAAAAGATATTAAACATTGTATTCCCCCAATATAGTTGTTTAAAACCTGTATATATTTAAATTTATCTTTTTATTTTATTTTTATTTTATTTTTATTTGTTATGACCCATATATAGAAACATACTTATAAACCATGGCATCAGAAGAGTCAAAAGACTTAATAATTTCTTTATTAAATGGGGCTAATAGCTCAGAAAGAGATAAGCAAGATTATTTAGCAAGTGCCTACGAATTAATTTTTCATAAGGAGCCAATTTTATTAGACGAGTTTTATGCAAGTTTTGTAGATTTCGCTCTCGATAGGTCCAAAGCAGTGAAAATTCAAATTATACCTTATATCGAATCAATATGTAAAAAATACCCAAAATGTAAATACCATTTAGATTTTATTTTGAAAAAGTATTTTATTAATCTAACAATAATTGTTGTTTTTTAGATTTCAGTATATCAAATTTAAACTTATTATTAACGAGTGATATAAAGTCAGTTGTTAAAAGAACAATATTATGTATAACAAATTTAATAAGAGCAGTTTTATTTTATATGTAGGTACCAAATTTAAAATTAGATTAAGAGTTTCATATTTTATAAAATATGCTAATAAAATTAATAATCATTTTGTATAGAGTTCAATCACCACAAAGTGATCAAATTTATCAAGTTTGGAATTCATTCAATATTGTTAAAGATCATATTGTCAAATTAAGTATTTCATCAGAGGACGAGTCAATTAGAACGAGCGCATTTAAAATGCTTGAGGTTTTGATATTATCATATTCCTCACCAAGCGAATATAAACAGTCTAAAAAGTATAAATCAGATGAAGAGTTTTCATTAGATAAGGTACCATCAAATCATTACCTCATTTCAAAATCATCCCTAAACAAAGAATGCGAAACATATTTAAATATTTTATTAGATAGCGCAAAGGATTTAAAGAATATGTAAATATATGGTTTTATAGTTATAATTTTTATAGTTTCAATTGGTATTAATTTTATTTTCATTTATTATTAATTTTTTGGTTAGGACCAGCCAGAATATAATGACATTAGTTACATCATTGACCAATATTTTAAGACAGAGATTTTCAATGTTACCTAAAATTATAACAGTAATTTGCCAATGCCCAAATATAGTGCCAAGGTTTCAAACAGTTCAACAAGAAAGCGTTAGACACACATTAAAGGTTTCATTATTATCAATTATACGTTTAAAGAAAAAGGATTTACTTGCACCATATATGCAAGACTTAATTCAAGCCTGTAACAAAATTGATTCAAAGGATGCCGCTGAAGAAGCTGCCAGATGGTTTTTTAGTGACAATGATTCTGATAAAAAGAAAAGACATTTTGAAAGTTCACACGATTCGTCAAATAAAAAGAAATCAAAAACTGAACATGTATATGGGGTTAATAATAATGTTATAGATTATCAACAATCAGGTAATAATAGTAATGATAATAATAATAGTAATAATAATAATAACAATAGTAGTAATAATATAAATAATATAAATAATGGTAATTTTGTTGAAAAGCCTGGCTTATTAATGGATAGTGATACTCTATCAAAGATAATGTATGTAAATTATTTTTTAAAAATTATTTATAATTATTTTGTTAAAAATACTAATAATATATTTTCAGAGATACTATCGAATTTTTAAATCCAGATTTTGTTAGAGAATTAGTTATAGAAAATATGAGCCATGTTCCTATATTTGGTTTATTACAAGGTATACCGCAAAGTTGTCCAGGTTTTAAAGAAATTACAGAGTTTTTAAATTCCTATCAAAATAAAAATATTCAACCTGTTCAATTTGTTAATAATTTTCAACAAAGACAACCATTTCCAAATCAACCATATATGGGTGGTTATAAATCACCTGCTTTACAGCCTCAGCCACAACAGGGGGCACCAAATCAACCATTCATACTTTCACCACCAGTACCACCTTCACAATCAACATTTCACAAACAACAGCAACAAAAGATACAGCAAAATCAACCACCAAAAATACCACCACAATTTAATTTACAACAAACACAGCCAAATACACTACCTTTACAACCAGTATCCTCACCTCCACCATTAACGACAACAACAACAGCAACATTAAACATACCAAAAGATGTGAATATGGAAGAAAAAACTGAAAAAGATGAAAAAATAAAAGAGGTTTATGATAATGAATCTGACGATGAAGTTGATGACGAAACACCATTATTTAAAGAAGAAATTAAAAACGTTGATGATGACGATGAGTCCGAATCCGAAGAAAAAGAAATGGTTAAAAAAGAAGAAAACACAGCAGATCAAATTAACGAAAGCAATACAATCGATTCAATTGGTAAAGCTGAAATTATACCTTCAGTCACACCAAGACCAGTATTCAAAATCCCTCCATTAACTCCAGAACGTGCAAAACATATTGGTGACTCAGCATTAATGAGAATTAAAATTTGCGAACCAGGCATTATAACAACAGGCAAACACCATCTTTGGACTTCAATATTAGGGCGTATTCTTTCATTAAGACCAGACCAAGAGAACATTGAAGAATTGGATGAGTTTGTTCCATTTATTGTTGAAGATTTTCAAAATCATAGAGAATTTGCATTACAGTGGTTATATAACGAATTATTTATTGCAAAGCAAATTTTACCAACTTTTAGCCCCGACTCAATGAAAAGATATACCAATCTCTTAAGAAAGCTAATCAAGTATATGCGAAAACACTTTCCACCAAAAGACCCAGAAATTGGTTTATTCATTCTCGATGTTCCATATATTACCGATCAATTATTACATTCAATAAATTGCAAAGTGGTTGCTGAAGCCCAAGGTTTAATTTATACAAGTTCGAAATGGGATTTAAATAAAGTATTTTCAAATGAACATAATGTTATTACAAAACCAAAACCACCAACTGCAGAGGCAGAGGAGAATGGTACAACAGCATCAGAGAATGGTAATGTTAGCGATAGCCCAGATCAAACTCCAATTGATCAAAAAACACTTCAAGAAAAAGAAAGTGAGTGGTTACCAGCAGGTTTAGCAATTCTAAGAGATTTAATACTTTGGAGACCAACTGTACGTACACAATGCCTTAATAGTTTATTGGAGTTTTCAACATCTAAAGATGATACTGTTCGTGCGCCATCAATTAATTTAATTGCAAACCAACTTTACATTAGACCATCTCTTCAAGAAACTATTCACAATTTTGCAAAAGAACAAATTTTACTTTTAAATAAATATAAAGATAGATTGGATGAAGAAATGAAAACTCAAAAAACAAAGGATCCATCAATTAAATTTAGTGAATTAATGAACCAAGACGATAGTGATAGCGAAACAGAATTAAAAATTAAAATCGAAAAGGATGATACTATTAAAATTAAAGAGGAGGATGATGAAGTTATGAAAGAGGATCAACAGGAGCCAGAGCAAAACCAAGATCTAGACCAAGAAAAAGAAAAAGAGGAAAAAGTTATTAAAGAATCACCATCAGCAACAAACGATACTGGCGAGAAAATTTATCCAGAACCAATTCAAAAAGAAATTAAAAAGTTTATTGAAACAAGAGTAACTCTTTTCTTTTCATTAATCATCAAAAATCATCAATTATTAAGTGACTTATTAGAGCTTTATCCAAGCTATAACTCAATAACCCAAGATGTTGTAAAAAGATTAGCGGGATTCGTTATTAAACACATTGGTCAAAGTGGTATTACTTCATCGCTTTTACAAGTTATTTCTGTTTGTCCAGTTGGTTCAGAGAATCTTACTATCGAGGTATTAAATTCATTGGTAGCTTCAGAAAAACCTAGTCAAGAGTTGGTCGATTCAGTAAAATCATTACTATTAACAAATAATGATTTAAGATTCCTCTTACCAGTTGTTAAAGGTTTAAAGAAAGAAGAAATTATCAGTAGATTACCATCATTCATTTCATTACCAAATAAGGAAGATTCCAAACAATTCATTTTGGTTTTAGCATCTGGTGACTCACCTATTTCAGCATCAGAACTTTTAGTTCAACTTCACCTAATTTCTAATGAATCATTATTAAAGAATGTTATTGACTCTATCGACTACTGTTTATCAATTACAGACACCTTTAAACAAGAAATTGTTGCAGCATCTATCAATCAATTAATGGCTCAATCCCAGTTACCAAAGTTCTTTATGAGAACTATTTTAAAAACTCTTCAAATTCATCCACGTTTAAAAACATTTGTTGTTGAAATACTCAGTCGTTTAGTCGCAAAACAGGTATGGAACGATAAGACACTATGGGATGGTTTCATTTATTGTGCCAAACTTGCAAAACCAGAATCATTAGAAGTAGTTCTCCAACTTCCACCACCCCAATTCGAAATGGCCTGTAGTAATAGCGATCTTAAAAATATAATTATCAAATTCTTAAAAGATAACGATCCAAAGAACTATCCAAAACAAAATATTAAAATATTAAATATTAAATAATAACCAAAAAAATAAAAATAAAAAACTTAATAAAAAAAAATATGTAATAAGCTATTTTTTTCCCACATTTTATTTAAAACAATATAAAGTCTCATAACTAAATGTTCTTTTTTTTTCTTTACTTTTAAATTTTATTTATTTTTTAAAATATTGGTTTAACCAAAATCTGGTTTTTTTTTTTTTTTTTTTTTTTTTTTTTTTTTTCTTGTAAAAATAAATCTTTTTAAGTGTTTTCTTCAACTATTTATTACTATTGTTACCATTACTATATTATAACTATTATTATTATTATTATTTAGACTAATTGCCTTTTCCATTTGGCATTCCATTTCCATTTGTACCATTAGCATTATCACTACCATTCAGAGGAGAGGCTAGATTATTTCTACTACCACTTCTACTTCTACTACGACTTCTGCTTCTACTTTCACTCCTATTTCTACTTTCGCTTCTATTTCTACTACCACCACTTGCACTTCTTTCTCTTTCTCTCTTTCGTTCACCTCTAGAGTTTGATCTATCTCTTTCTCTTTCTCTTCTTACTCTTCTTTCGCTTCCTCTTGAGTGAGATCTATCTCTAGAACGGTCTTTTGATCTATCTCTTGAACGATCTCTGTTTCTATCTCTTGATCTATTTCTATCCCTATCTCTTGATCTATCTCTTGAACGATCTCTGTCCCTTCTGTCTCTTGATCTATCTCTATATCTATCCCTTGAACGATCCCTGTCCCTTCTATCTCTTCTTCTGTCTCTGTCTCTATCTCTATCTCTGCTTCTGTCTCTTGATCTATCCCTATCTCTAGAAAGGTCTCTAGATCTATCTCTTTCACGATGACCATATGGACTATATCTATTTGAACCTTTTTTATTTGGGCAACTACGAGCCCAATGTCCTTCTTCATCACAAAAAAAACATTTTCCTGATCCAATATCTTTTTTAATACCTCTTGAACTATTACTTAGCTCTACAACAATATCTCTTCCGAGAAAGAATTGCTTATTCTCGCTATTAATTGCATCATCAGCAGCATTTTTATCTAAATATTCCTAAATATTAAAAATTATTATAAAATTAATATTTTATTGTATATGTAAACTATAATTTTATCTTTTTAAATATTTATTTTTAATACTTACAACAAAACAAAAACCTTTTCTTAGTTCTAATTTATCAATTTTACCAAATTTTGAAAATCTGTTTAAAATATCCTCTCTTCTGGCATCATTACTTAGTCTTCCAATGTAGATTTTGGACATTATTTCTCTTATTTATTATTATTAGTTAAATTAATAACAATAATAATAAACAAATAAAATAAATAAATAAATAAATAAATAAATAAAAATAAACAAATAAATTAACAAAAAAAAAAAAAAAAAAAAAAAAAAATACACAAATTAAAAAAAAAAAAATCAAAAAATAATTTAAAAAATTTTTTAAAATAAAATTAATTAAAAAAAAAATATAAAATTATAAAAAAAAAAATATATTTTTTTTAATTTTTTCTCTTTTTTTTATTTTTCGCATATGCTTGTGGTAAATTAGTAAAATATAAATCTGTTTATTATAATTATCTAAATAAAGCCAATATACAAATAAACTAAATAAATAAAATAATAAAACAATGTGCGATATTACGACAAATTTACAAAATAAGCTTAAAGATAAAATTCAAGCAAACCCAAAAGAACCAAAAAATTATTTTTCATTAGCACTCAATATTGGGTTATTTGAAAATACCAAACTACACGACGAAAGAGAATATGACAAAATCGAACTTTTCAAGCATTGCTTAGACCTAGATCCCAACAACTCTGAATATTATTTCGAGATTGGTCAATACTTGAAATACTCTGAAACCAACGAAACCACCCTCAACAACTTTAAAAAAATAAAAGAAATTGACTGTTATCTATACTCTATTTATTTAATTAAACAAGAAAATAACAAAAACAATAATAATGACAATAATAAAAAATTTAAAAAACAAACCAATAGATATTACATTGCATTAGCTGATGCTTTATTGACCAATAACAATAACGAAAAATACAAATCAATCATAAATTCAAATAACATTATTACAAATAAAGAGTTAAAATTAGAAGTTGTTCCAAACAATAAAAAACAAGAACCATTTATTGAAACATTCGATAAAACTGAAATTCTTTTAGAGGCCATAGAGTATTGTCCAGAGAGGTCAAATGCATACATCAAATATATGTCAAATTTTTTAGAAGCCAAAAAATCAGTTAAACTTTTAAATGGAAAAACCATAAAGATTAAAGACAACATTAATAATACATCCTACCTAAACATTTTAATGAATGTTTTGTTTATAATAGGTATTATATTTAATGTTTATTATTTATTTTTTAAATAAAATAAATAAATTTTTTAAACTATTTTTTACTTTAAAACTTTAAAACTTTAAAACTTTTTATTTAATCGATATTGTATTTTAATTTAAAGCGCTTTTTCGGATTATATTATTTTTAATGTTATTCTTTGGAGCTATTTGGATATGTGTCCCAAAATCTAATCCACCATCTATAACGAATTAGGTCCCCATTTTTAGGACCAAGCAAACCAGCCAAACAATTAATGTTTTGATTATCTATATTGATTTGAGTTTTTTGTATATTTTGTTTGATAGTTGGCCCACTATAAATTTTTAGATTTGTTATTGAACCTATATTAAAAATATATAAAATTAGAATAAGAAATAATATAATAATGATAAAAAGTAAAAACAAACATACCAATGATTGTCATTTTATAAATGTAAAATAAAATTAAATGAAATTTTATTAAAACTAGATTGAAATTAATAATAATAAAAAATAATATTATTTTTACTACCAAATTTTTTGTTTATAATAATTTTTTTTAAATAAATCTAAAAATATAGTTTTTTTTTCTTTTTAAATAAAATAATATTATATATTTTTATTTAAATATTAATAATTAATTAAAAGCAATTGAAAAAAAATAAAATATATATATATATATATATATTAATTATACTTTAATGGAATTGAAAATCATTAATATTATAATAATAAAAAAATAATATTTAATACAGTGTAATTGGATAATAATCATTTGTTATATTAGTGTGAAAAGAAGTAAAAAACAATAAAATAAAAAAATAAAATAAAAATTAAAAAAAAGAATAACAATAATAAAAATAATAAAAAATAACCCATATTTAGTATATTTGTGGTGGGTATTGACATATACTGCTATTTTTAAATTTTGGGTTAAATTAAAAATTATTGTTTAACATAGTACTACTATGTTTTTCAAAAACCCAATAATTTATTTTTTAATGTTATCATCTACAATTTTTAACTCAACATCAAACCAATAGATTATTATATATATGGACTAATAATAGCATTACATATTGTTTTGAAATTATATATAATAATTTTATTACTATAATTTTAAAATAATTACTATTATAACCTACAAAAATCATATAAATATAACACAATAATGAGAATAATAAGTATACAATAATTAGATACATATATATACATTAAAAAAAGTATTAATAAGATATTTAATCATATTTACTCCTATTTAGAAAAAATTATGTAATACATTATGGATCTATCACAATAATTATTTTTTGTTTGATTTTGATATTATTTATATCCCATAAAAAAAAAAAACATATCTAATATAATCTGGTTTAAATCTTTTACAACTCCCACCCCTCATTTAATTTTTATTTTTATTTTTTTTCACCACTAAATCCTATCATTTTTTTTTAAAACAAGCTGAAATGAATTAAATTTGGATTAAAATGTTTAATAATAAATTTTAATAAAAATAATAATAATAAATAAAAAAACAATACTAGTTTCTAATTACTGTTTTGGTAATGGAATCATATTAAAATACCTCTGTGTAAATGTGTATGTTAAAAATAAAAAAATTTGAAGTATATCATTAAAATATCCACACCTGCTAAATAAAAGTTTATTAATTATTATTTGTAAAAAGAGAAATCACAGGAAACTATATAATAAAATAATAAATATCATTTTTTTTTTAAAATTTTTTTTTTTTATTATTTTTTTTGTGTATAAAAAAACTATATAACTATATAATTTTATATAATTATATAAATTTCTTTTTTTGATTTTTAATTTTTTTTTTAATTTTTTTTTTTTATTCTTATATTATTATTATTATTATAAGTTATTATAATTTAAAAAACTTCACCTTCATCAATATCTTCATCATCTTCATTATCGTCGACTTGTTCATCATCGTCGCTATAATCTTGTTTAGTGTTGTTAAGTGAAACGATACCGAATTTCTTTTTAAGTTTTTTGTTTTGCTTTTTGAGGCTTTTATTTTGTTGTGGATTATATTGGTCGTTTTCATCTTTAAGATTTTGAACTTTAGCTTTATTATTTGAAACTTGTTTAGTAACTTTGGATTGAACAATTTGTTTTTGTTGTTGATAACGAAGTAAATCCATATCATCATCTTCGTCTTCGTCCATTTCTTCCTCGTCTTCTTCTTCTTCTTCTTCATCTTCCATTTCTTCTTCATCATCATCTTCTTCCATTTCTTCTTCATCATCTTCATCTTCTTCATCAAATAATGATTCGTCTAAATCGCCAACAACTGGTTCTGATGATTTAAGTGAAGCGAATGAGGTACCAGCATTTGAAATAGTTGATAAAAGATCGGTTTGATCAATGTTAAGTTCATCAGAGAATTGATTAACAATAGTTGATTTAACTTGAATTTTAGGTGGTTGGGTATAGAATGGAATTTTACCACCAGTCCAATCACGAATGACACTGAGAGCAGTAGCATGTAAATCAGCAATACCACCTTTTCCTACTTTCTTACGTTTATTTGCGACTTGTGATAAAAACTCGACAGTTGAAGAGAATTCAGCAATTTCGTAGATTTCGAGAATTTGTTTTTGTGAACAACGTTGAAGGATAGCTTCTACTGGTGCAATTGGATCAGCAACTTTTTCGAGTTTGACAACATTACGGAGAATAATATTTTCGTCGACATTACCTTTAACTGGAACAATACCTGGTGAGTCGAGTAATTTAACGTTTTTATCTAAATGAACTTCTTGAGCAATCTTTGTGAAACCTGGAGTAGCACCAACACCAACTGAACGGGTTCTCTTTAATGAATTAATTAATGAACTTTTACCGACATTTGGGTAACCAATGATACCAACTGAAACTGAAGTCTTGATATTTAAAGAACGACTGTAATTTTTTAATAATTGTAAAAGTTGTTCGGCACCTAAACTTTCAGTGCTATTAAGAGCGTCTTGGGTGGCTGTTTCGGCATTGATTGAACTTTGACCGAGATTACGACGTTGGTTTTGGGTGGAACATTTGAAGGCAAGAGTTGGGTAGAAATTACGAAGATACTTAAGCCACATTTGAACGTTTTCACGTGGAACTAAATCGATCTTGTTTAAAACTAAAACAATTTTTTTGTTTGTGTATCTTTCGAGAATCATTTTTTCGATATCGAGACAACGACAACCCATTGGATCACGGGCATCTAAAACTTGAATAATAACATCTGCTGCTTCAATAACCTTTTTAACTTCTCTGTAGAATGATCTTAATGAATTATCTGATCTTTCTTTTTCAAAAGTACCTTTTGACATTCTTTCTTCTAATTCTTCTTGTTTTCTTTCAAATTCACTTTCACGTCTTTTAGCATCTTGAACCATTGATGCAACATCTTTTCTTGCTGATGCCATTTGTTCAAGTCTTCTTTGTTCTTTCTTTTTCTTCTTTTCTTCACTTAATTGTTGTTTGTGATTTTCAATCTTTGTTAATAAATCTTCTTTGAATGGCCATAAATTTGGAATACCTGGATCCTTCTTTGCTTTATTTAATTCTGGATGTTCCTTGGCAAATTTTCTAACCTTACGTCTGTGTTCTGCTACTTTTTTTTCAACTTTATGTTTATGATGTAAACTTTGACGTTTACTGGCTCTATCTATAAAATTTTAACAATTTTATTAATATAATTTTAAATATCACTATTATTTTTAGACTATTAAAAAGATTTACTTACGTTTACCCATTTTTTATTTTCTATTTAATATAAATAATAAATTATTTAAATAATATTATTTGATATGATAGGTAATAAAAATTTAATAAAAAATGATAATATTTCGTTTTTTTTTAAAAACGAAAAAAAAAAAAAATTTTAAAAAAAAATAAAAATAAAAAAAAAAAATAAAAAAAAAATAAAATAAAATTAAATAAAATATTATTTTTGATTATTATTTTTTTCGTGTATTTATTAAATCTAAAAATAAATAATAACAATAACAAAGCACCGATTTTAATATATGAAAAAAAAACAAATTATATGCATGAAAAAAAAAAAATTTTTAAGCATTTTTGTGAATAAAAATATTCAGTTCTGTGTTTTAAAATATCTGTATGATATCGTTTATTTACATTCTTCTGGTTTTTCTATTAAGTTACAAAGCTTTAAACCCAAACACCTGATTGATTCGAATTTTATTGGTGATACAGTTTGATTGAAAATGTCCCAAATTTTCTCTGTGTGTTCAACAAAGGTTTTTGGGTAAATAATTTGCCTTTTCTTTTTATTTGGTGATGCTGTAGTAGGAAGAGAATTGTTTTCTAAAAAGTAATCGCCCTCCTCTTTAATCATAGACTCTTTCTCCTCGGTGGAGTATTCGTCATTGCCAAATGATTCGTTTGGATCGCTGCTATTCTGGCTCTGGTTATCCAATTTTTTGGTTGAAATTATTGAGTATGTATAATTGGTGACTTTGAATGAAAAATCTTGTACTTTTACAATTATTGAGCATGCTAATTTATTTTCGATTGATAGCATTTCTATACACTGCGAATGTAATGACACCATTAGTTCTTGTAAATCATTTTCATCGTATAACTCTTTACAATTCTTTTCTTTACTGATCATTGTTTTCTTTTTATTTGCTCTGAATGATGATTTGTTTGGGAATATTGGCACTGCGAGGGCATGCTTAAAAAGTAAATCCCTGTGCTGTTCTGGGAATATAAAATATAACTCATAACGGTGCTCGATCACATCACCAACTGTTACCAAACCTAATGTTTTCAATAACTCCTGTCTTACTTTGCCTATACCTGGTAATTTTTTAATCTTTTTTAAATAACGGCAATAATTAGTATTTATATTAAACCAATTTGTTAAATAGTAGTTATAATTACCTGAATTGTTTTTATAAATTCTTGAGTGTGTTTATTTTCTAAAAAAAAGAAGCCATTTGGTTTATTAATTTCGCTGCATATTTTTGAAAGCAATGGAGAACATGAAATACCCATACTTGAAGTTAATGTTGTTTCGTTATAAATATCGGATTGTAATGAGTTTGCTACATCGACTGGTGTTAATCCTTCATTGTTTTTTAAATAATCTGTAATATCAATACAACCTTCATCTAATGATGGCGACTAATAAAAATAACCTATTAATACTCTTGCCCATCAGCACTATTATTAATTATAGTAATTATTGTTTGTACGTACAACATAATTTGGATCATATTTTGAAAAAATGTTTCTGATAACTGAACTGACCTCTCTGTATCTATCCATACGCGATGGTAAAATGACTAATTGTGGACATAATTTCATAGCCAACAACCCTGGTAAACCTGAACGAACACCATATTTTCTAGCCTCGTAATTAGATGTAACCAACATATCAATTGAACCAACTGCAACTGGATGACCATTTAATTCTGGGTTATCCATTTCCTCTACATTTGCATAGAAAGCATCCATATCTATATGAATAAACATCCTGCTTTGGTCTGTTAATGTTTTTAGCTTTTCTATATATTCATCCACAGTTTTTTGATACTCTTCAGTATCTGGTAATTCGTCTAATTTGCTTAATATCGACCCAATATACTCCTGTATCTTTTTAAAATCCCTATCTAATTTTTGCTGAAAATGTGTACCAACTGAAAACTCTTTTAACATTGAATTGATTAGCTCAATATCAACTTTTTCCATACCTGCTTTAAACTCCATCGTTTGGTTGTATATATATTATAATTTTGACAGTAAAGGTGATGTATTTTTTCTTAGTTTGCAGTATTAAAAAAATTTTTAAAAAAATTTCAATTTTGGAAAATTAAAAAAATTTAAAAAAAAAAAAATAATAATAATTTTAATTTTTATAAGAAAATATTATTTTTGATTTATTTCTTAAAAAAATATCTAATTATCTTATTTTTTTATTTTGTGTTTTTTTATTACCAACTATTTTCACATTTAGAAAATAAACAACCAAAAAATATATATATTAATTGAAATAAAATAGAAATGGATAAAAAACTAACTTAAAAAATTTATTATTGGATTTATTTCACCACATGTCAAAAAAACCGTTATAATCTTTTTTTTTAATTTTTTTTTTTTTTTTAAATTTTTTTTTTTTTTTTTTTAAACCTTAAAATTTTTTTTTAGACTTTGTTTGCATATAAACTAATTATTTTCTATAATTATATTTTTATTTAATTATAATTTTAAACATTAAACATTATAGTGAAATCATTATTTTATTAAAGGTAAAGAAAAAAGAAATAACACAAAAACAAACTTAAAAAAAACAAACCAACCAAAAAAACAATCAACAAATTATCCTTGTTTTTCTTTTACATAAAAAAAATACCAATAACACCACTTCACACACAAATTGAATAAAGATAAAATTTCTTTTTTTTTATAAATTGTTTTTATTTTTTTTTTATTTATTTTGTTTCACCAAATACCAATAGTTTTTTTTCCAATGAAAAAAGCAAACAAATAAAAACATTCTTCACTTCACATCAACAAAAAATCAAAACCCCCCCCCCCCCAAAAAAAAAAATATAGTTTCTTGGACAATAAAAAACAATAATACACCCTTTCTCTTAAAACCAATTTAAAAATAGATCATTATTTTTAAAATAATTATGTATTACTACAAATAAATTTTTTTTTTTTTTTTTTAATTTTTTGTTTATTTTTTTATTTGTCAGAAACTTCAGTTGTATTCATTCTCACTAAACAAGAAATACAATAAACTGAAAGATTAAAGCACACTCACACCCAATCACACCCACATATATTATTGATAAAATCCCTATTAAAAAAAAAAGAAACCACACTTTATTTATTTGTTTATATATACCACTTTAAATTTTTGTGTGAAAAATAATAATAATCATTTTTTATTATAAATACAATCAATTTACCTTTGTTTTATTTATTCAATTTTTTATGTGTGGGTATCTTGTTTTCGTGATAGAGGTGAAGACCAACCACATTTTTTTTTTGTTTTGTTAGCAGTTAATAATTATAATATATAAACAAACAAATCGGATTTGATATTTATCTCATCTTAATTTATTTTCACACCCTTTTTTTGGATTTTTTTTTTTTATATTTAACAAAAAAAAAATGCCTCACTATGTTTGCATCTTTATTTACTTTTAAAATAAAAGGAACTCACCCACCATATCACATAATAATTTAATCAATAAAAAAAAAATAAAATAAAATTAATGGTACTCTCCATGCACACAAAAAACTAATTATTTACTTTAACTACTAACACACACCACACCTCTACTGCTAACCCTCTTTCACACTAAATAATATAACATAAATATTATTTATCTTACCCACAATAAAAAAATAACAACACTCAAGCTTTTTTTTTTTTTTTTCTATTTTTTTTTTCTCTTTCTATTTTTTTAAATAAATCTTTTTTTCTTTTTTTTTTTCTTTTTCTTTTTTTTTTTTTTTTTTTTTTTTTTTTCCCTTTTTTACCATTTATTTATTTATTAATAAAGTTATTTATTTATTTTGTATTGTTTTATTTAATACACAATAATTTTAGTTTGTTTTATTTTATGATTGAAAAATTTAAAAAATCAAATACTTTCAAAAAAGGGGGGGAAAACCTTTTTTTATATTCCCAAATTTCCCTTTCTAAAATTAATTTTTTTTTTTTTTAAAAAAAGGGTGCCCCCAAAATTTCTAATTTTTTTTTTTTTTAAAGCGAAATTTTTTAAAAATTTTTGGGCCAAATTTTTTTTTTTTTGATTTTGTTTTTGGGAAT